TAAAAGTCAAGCAATTCGGATGTGGTTTGTAACAAAAGTTTTGCACCTTCAGAGCTACCAAAGATTTTAAGTAACAAAGATCACATAAAACGCTATATGTAAATTTATTAATCTGAGAAGAGTGTCCAGTAATACAACAGACACGGATGGCTCACAACATGGCTCAAGAAAAGCAACTTCTTCGCACTGCTTGACTTAAGCCTCAACAGGTTACGCACCCACAGCATCTGCCAGGTCCCCTGCAAGTTCAGAGGAGATTCATCTGGTTGTGCTTTACAATGCAGCCTGAAATTCAAGTAGCAGCTCATCTGCCAAAATAGTTGGACAGCCTTACGTATTTTTTCAGCAGTGTGTACCTTTTGGATCCTGCTGCATCAGTATTTTAAGAGTACTATCAGAATCTTACCGTAAATGATCACTGTGTGCAGACAATTCTCCTGTAACTCCCATGATGGAAAAGATGCAACACCCACAACATGCTACCTTGTTTATTTGATGTTAAGCACTGATTTCCAAACCCAAAATACATTCAATTGTTTGGAACAGAAAGCTTACATCAAAAATTGACAGTTTGTTGTTGTTTTTTGGTTTGTTTGGAGTTTTTTTATTTATTTATAAAACCTTAGTTTTCCAAACCACGGTGTATCCAGTGGCTATCACTGAATATTAAAAAAAAACCAAAGAAAAAAAAGAGTAGCTGCCACTCATGCCTCAAAGTATCCTCATAAAATTTCCTCAACAGGTGATGGACTTAACAATTACAGACACACACATATGCCTATAAATTCAGAAATACAAGCGGACTCAGCTGCATCTGGACAAGTCTGCAAGGTCAGCATATGCCACAGGAACTCGAAGAATCTGTGGATTCTTTGGATGTGTTGGATGTGTTTAAGAATAGGGTGGATGATCTACTTGAGGATATGGTTTAATGGGGATTAGGGATGGTTGGACTCGATGGATCTCTAAGGTCTTTTCCAACCTAGAAATCTATGAATCTGCACTGCGGTTCACCCTCTAGGGTTTTACTGGGGAGATAAAGCTTTAGGTTTTTGTTATAACTCCAGAGTAAACTACCCATAAATCAGAGAGCAGAAGAATAATCAGAACTGCACTGAAATCTACCTGTTGATATCAAGTAGGACACCGTTTCTTCAGTATTTTATTGATTTTTTTTTTTAACTTCATCCTAAAAAAGTGAGCATTCACACTATCTCCTTAATTAAGAACAGGCACAGCAGCTATGAAAAGGTAAAGAAGAAAGAAATGTTTATCCCCTCTCCCTAAGACAAGTCTCACTTTAGAAGAAAAATACATTTTAGAAGTATCCCAAAATCCAATCTTTTTTCCTTTCGGAGCAATAAGAATAATAACCCTTGTTAAAAACCCTAGCTGCTAAGAAGACATTTTAAAAATACCTTCTCCTCAGAAACTTGAAGAGTTTGGAAATAAGAATACCATTAAGCCATTTATTTTAAGTCAGCAATAGTCTGCAAAATAATGGTATTGATTAGGTAGTTCACGGGAACGTCGATTTCCTTTCCAATTTTAAATCACAATACTCAATGTCTGAAACCAGCCTACTAGTTATCTTTCAAGATCCTTTTTTACCGCTGTTGAACGATGTAATTTATTACTTTCACATTAATATTAGTTTTTCTACATGTAAAAATAGTATCTTGTAGCACTACTACGGGAAAACAAGATTTAACCATTCAGTCAGACCAAGTGCTAAGGTTAAAAATAACCACAATTCATTCACGAAAGCGTTCAGCAGACGTCATGCACATGTACAGCAAGAGAATCAGTCTTCGTTAACTGCAACTGCATTAACAATCGCTGGTACTGACTCAGGCAGAAACTTATTACTATTGTTTTATGTGGGCCAAATAAAAGCTGAAGAAAGTTAAACCTTAAAATGCACGTTTGTGTGCGCACGTGTCATCGATGCAAGAATAACGGCAAACATCTCTTACTGGGGAGCAACAACGCAGACTTTAAGGGGAAAAGCAGCCCACACCAAACCTGGAGCCTGCAGTTGCAGTTATCTTATTTCCACAGGCAAAACCCTCCCACACACATTCAACGATTCAGCTTCACCCATCACCCAAAAGAATTGTACTTCCCAGCGCTGAATTTACTCACACAATACAGGAGGACGATATTTTAATGAAAATCTTCTATAAAGATACTAACTTACCCTGCACAGAGAAAATTATTTATTCAGCTGTGGAGTGAAAAGCCGAATTTAACTTTTAAATCTGAAGTGGGCTGACGACAACTAATCGTCAGCAGCCAGAAGCAGTTAGATGTAACTTCAAACCCACATGCCAGCAGTATCTACCACTACATGTTCTTAGCATCAGCCTCAAAACACCCGTTTCCTTTCATCACATAGAGAGTGAAGAGACTTAAAGTCCCTAGCAAGCATCTCATCTACTTAGAAAAATCTCCAGATACACGTATTAAATATTGCAACTAACTACTTTTGGATCAATGATTTTAACTTGTGTGGTAGAAATATACAGATTTTTTCCCTTTTGGAGATATTTTTTCCTTTTTGAAGAAAAGGAAAATTATTTTTTCTTGTGGTAGAAATATACAGAATATTTTTTTCCCTTTTGGAGATATTTCTTCCTTTTTGAAGAAAAAAATCCTTCAGTAGATTTACATTTCTGCACACAAAGACTGCCATTCTCA